TTACATCGCTGTCAGATTCAGGGTGTTCTGATGGGGGTAACATAAGACATTGTCATTCCTTTCGTTTGGCAGGGGTTTCGCTAGGCCCTGTGCTGGTGAGGCAAGGACACAGATATATCAGGCAAGGCTCCTGCCTGCCCCTTAAAGATAACCCTGGAAATAAAAAAGGTCGAAATTAACAGAAAACAAACTTTCAGAAGTTTTACGGGTGTGACATAGCGGAATCAAGGGGAGAATAGGGACAGAAGCTGCGAGGCATTGGTAAGGGCTGGGCGAACAGGTTTGGGACCCCTAAAGGAACCAAGAGCTTCCCAGGCAAATCTCTTTTCTTCCAAACAACTTGCACTTAGAAGAGATCCACGCTCCGCCGGGTGTCAGTCTGTGAGAAGTTTCCGTCTACCTAAACCCTAAATAGCTCCTGGCCTGGATCGGGGCCTGTTGGAGAGGGGAACTGGGGTGGGGGGGTGGGGGGGGCTGTCGCGATAAGCCGGAGTTCTGAATGTAGCCGAAGGGAGACCGATTGTTTCCGAACAGATCCGAACCGGGCATGGGCTATAAGGGAAGGAGGCCACTTCCGAAAAGCGTTTCCGGAGAGATCCGAAGATGCACGAGTGGGCTTCCGTGCCTTTGTCAGGAATAACCGAGGGTTTACGAAGACGATCGAAAACACCCGAAGATGTTCATTCATAAACTAAGACCTAAAATGTTTATTGGGCTCCCATGGTGTGTCAAGAGCTGGGTGAGCAACACTGGAGACAGGACACTGAGGAAGAGAATTTGGGGCCTCTCTAACTGGACCCACTCGGAAACCAAGCCGTGGAATTTTGTAAACATACGTAGGGCTCTCGAACGTTGGCGCTCCGCGTCAGAGAACACGCTCTCGGGTCTCCAGCCGAAGAGTTCCGAAGGTTCCCGAGCGGTGTGAGACGGGCTGGCGGAAATAGCCGAACGTCTCTGAGCCGCTTCGGAGGCAAGCGGGGGCGGGGGGGGGAGGAGAAGGAGGTCAGGAGACTGCGCGCGCCTGCCCAGAGAGGAAGCGGAAATGCGTGTCGGTATTAAAGGCATCGTCCCGCCCCCTATGTGCCTCTTTCCGTCTACTGCTACAGCAACGAGAGGAGGTGAGCGCGGGCCTTCCGCCTGTCCTCATGGGCGCATCTCACGCGGGCTGCCGGGTGTTGTTTGCCCCTGTCAGTTTCTTTCATTGCGCCCCTTGCGTCCTTAGCTGCCCCCCTGCTCCTCCACCCAAAGCTGCCGTGGGTTTTCACACTGTCTCCTGCATTTAGTCTCGGCGCCTGACTTCAGTCCCGCCGTCTAAGGTCGCCAAACCCCGCCTGCCTAATTCCTAAGTACCGTCTGCCCTCAGGTTGCCCCATTCGTCAGGTTCCCACTGAACACTCTCTCTCCGCATGGGGCCTGGTGTCGGCCTGCTGCTCCCTTTGACATCTTTCCGTGCCCCTTTCTCCGCAGCTGTCGCCATGTCCGCGCATCTACAATGGATGGTCGTGCGCAACTGCTCCAGCTTCCTGATCAAAAGGAACAAGCAGACATACAGCACTGTAAGTGGGGGTCCTGACGCCTGGGTCTGCGGGAGGCACTTCGCTATCGCCGGGTCCCCTCCCACTTTACGCCTCCCATGCGTCCGCCTTCCCAGGAGCCCAATAATCTGAAGGCCCGCAACTCTTTCCGCTACAATGGGCTGATTCACCGCAAGACGGTGGGCGTGGAGCCAGCGGCCGACGGCAAAGGTGTGGTGGTCGTCATGAAGCGGAGATCCGGTGAGCATTTTCCCTGGCTTGGACCAGACGGCAGGCCCCTATCGGGGCAGGGAGCTGTAATTGTCACTGAGTCGAGGGTTCTTCGAGTCAGGATGTTCTTCTGGGAAGCTGACACCCCTTAACCGCCATCCCATGGGCTGTGTGAGGTGGTCAGGTCTCTTAACCTGTTTTGTTTTGTGTGAAGTAGAGAAATTAATAAGACCTGAACTGTATGTTGTGGGTGGTTGTGAGGATTGTATTACAGGGGTGCATGATCGAATGATTTCAGATTAGGTCCTTTAAACAGTTCAGGTGGAGGTGGATGTCTCCATCTCACTGCTGTAGGGAAATTTAGACAGATGAGCCTTCCCCTGGCTTCCACTTGTAGGAAGTAACAGGCTGGGTCACAAGCTGCAATTTGACCCCCATTCTGCTTGTGTGGACTCAGAAGGAGTCCTGAGCACCCCACCCCCATAAACTTAGGCATGGAGGAGCCTTTTTAGCGTCTTTAAACGCGGTCCTGGAGACGGCCTCTGGAGGGCTGTTAACAGTTGATTCACTTTTGGTCTTTGCTGGGGTTTGTAAGAGAAAGGAATGAGATTTCCCAGGTTTTCAATGAGGACAGTTTCTGTTTGGGGTCAGGGCCCAACATTTTGTTCATTGTTAGCAGTACCCCAGGCCTGCCAAGCTTGGAGGGGTGTTACCCCCCCCCCTTGGGTTTTTGGACTTCTGAGAACCTCTTCGTGGTGTGTCAGGTCTTAAAAAGTTCCCTTTTCTTGAGATTGTTAGGTAGCCTTTCCTGTCAGGAACCAACTTCTGTGAGAAGTTAATATGACCCTGCTCTGGGGTCCGCAACTCAGCCACACCCCTGAAATGCCAAGGGGTCCTTGGCTTTTTGGGGAAAACCAGGAGCACAGGACTCCATTTGGGCTCCATCAGCTCTGGCACAAGAAAGGGGGTGCTTCCTTTTAATCCTGGGCGGTGGAGTCCAGATTCCACATGTGCACAGGTGAGGGCTTTTTCTCACCCTCATCCCTTGTGACTCCCTTTCCCCCAGCTTCAGGGCCAGGCCTCAGCTTGACATTTTAGACTCTTGTTCCAGAGGAGGAGCTGAGGGGGGACCAGGGGCCCGGGAGGGCGGGTCAGGGAGTGGAATGCTCACTATCTGGCCAGCGCAGTGCTGAACACCTGCCTCACCACTGCTGCCCTGGAATCAGGCGTCCTGCATTCCAGCTCTGCTATATGTGTGACCTTGGACAGAAGTCCTCTTATTGCATCTGCCCCATCTCTCTAAAGTGAGATAGACGTGAACGCTCTGTCTCTGACACAATGATGAGATGTCTGTACTGTGTCCAGGGCAGGACCTGGCCTCTGATGGTCACTGTGAGTGTCCTATAAATTGGTGTGTGTAGGTGGGGCTGGCTGCCTAGGCTCACAGCTGGGGCGCTCCTGTTCTCGGTACAGTGGCATCCTTGCCACCTGGAAGGTGCATTAAAGGCCTAGGCCATCCAACTGACCAATGGGACTCCCCTTCTCCCCCACCAGGCCAGCGAAAGCCAGCCACCTCCTACGTGCGGACCACCATCAACAAGAACGTCCGAGCCACCCTCAGCAGCATCCGGCACATGATCCGCAAGAATAAGTACCGCCCGGACTTGCGCATGGCTGCCATCCGCAGAGCCAGCGCCATCCTGCGCAGCCAGAAGCCCGTGACGCTGAAGAGGAAGAGGGCTCGCCCCACCAAGAGCTCCTGAGCACCTCCCCCCCAAAACAATAAAGTATAAAGCATCAGCCAACTTTCTCCAACCACCTTGCCTGGGCCTCTCTTCTGTGTGGTGTGGCTCCAGCACTGGTTCTGTGTGTCCCAGGCCATGTCACCAGAACTCTAAGGGACACCTGGGTGGGGGGAGGGCTCCACCTACCCACTGGTACCACACAGGTTGCAGTGAGTTGGGACTAGAGGGACCCCGTGCAGGGGGTGGAGCCCAGCCCCAGCTGTTGTGGGAGGCCTCCCACTTCTTACGGGCTGGGGGCTAGTGTAAATTCCCACATTTCAGCACATCAGATGACTTCAGTAGGACATCTACAAAGAGCAGGTTAAACAAGCAAAACCCTCTAGAATCATCAGAATCTCAGTCTGCTAGCACACCACAAAGCTTCAAGAAAGATCTTAAGTGCCTATTTTATTGTCATCTAAGAGGTGGGGATGTAGACCCAGGGCGTCACGCCTCTTAATACAGGTATGTGGTGTGGCCTGAGAAGGTGGATGTGTTTATCACCCGGGTTTTTACTATCTGCGGACCCCACCTTTAGACCCTTTATTTTTCCTGGGACAGCCTGAACACTCCCAACAGGAACCCCACAGGAGTGAAGTGAGTGTCCTAGGACTTGAGGGGGTGGGCAGAGCCCTCAGGGCCCCATTATGCAGTAGCTGCCAAGAGTGCCCATCCCTACTTGGTTGAAACAGGCAATGCAACTTGTGAATCCTCACAACTGGAGTGCTGTCCCCATCTCTGAGAGGGGCACTAAAGCCCCTACAAGCAACCCAGCAGGGAGGTGGTAGCCCCAGGCTTCCCATAAGCCAGCAACTATGTCATCCGCCTGTTCCTAGCAAAGGACCCGCCCAGCCCACTGTTGTACTAACCTCCTACTAGACTGGGAATGAGCACTCTTTCCAGCCACCATCCCTCACTTGCTTGGGCTCACTACTGAAGCCCCTCAGAGGACCAGCCGCACCTCAGCTTTTTGTAGCCTTGCTACCTCTGACATTCCCATCTTACAAGGCTGCCTTGTGTTCAGGGTGTCAATAGTTCTGTCTCCTCAGGTCTTCCCTGATCCCCTAAGGAAGGTTCTCCCTTTTTCCTTGCCCCTTCACCCCTTGCCTGCATGCCTGGAGGTGTTTATCACCAGGCTGTCAAACACCATCTCTGCCACTAGTTGCGTGGCCTTGGGTGGGAAACTAGACCTCTCTGTGCCTGTGTTGTCAGAATTCAGGGAGTTAATGAATGCAGAGGGCTGAGGGATGGCTTGCACATAGCAAGTGCTGAGTGAGTAACTCTGGAGAACATAAGCGCTGGGAGAAGGCTGGACCTTGTCTCTCTAGTCCATCTGTGGGGCATGCGGGGAGGGGGTGTGTGTGCCAAAAAAAAATGTATACATGACGTAGTCGTTTGTTATCGGTATGTTATTAGAATTTTAATAGTTTTCCTTTCTTAAAATGTGTATACACTTTTTTGGCACCCTCTGTACCCTGTCTTCACTTTACAGCTCTGTGGCCAAGGGCTAAGGGTTTCATAGGTCCCCCACTGGGGTTGGGCGGGAGCCCTGCCTCCAGGGGCTGATACCACACAAACACAGAGCTCCTGACATCGCCCCCCACCCCCACCCCTCCAGCCTTCCCTGGTTAACAGGTGTGACCCTGACCACTTACTGCCAAAGCCTTTATTGCACCTGGACTCTTTAACAGTAGTCTCCACCCTTGCCTTACTTGGGACTGTTCTCCACCAAGGTGGAGGGGCATCCTGTTAGAACTAAGTCCATGTGATTTAATGCCTTCTCAGAACCCTCCTGCAATTCCCACCCCCCCTGAGTGAAAGGCAGACCCCTGGTCGTGTGGATGAGGCCTAGCTCCACCTCACCTCTTTCCACTGACACCCAGGGCATTTGTATTTGGAAAGGTTATGCATTCCAGCATGGTTGGTCCATAGATCCAGGACGTGTGACATGAATGATGGATGGCACATCTCCAATGGAATATTAGGCAGCTAGAGCAGGGAAGGGCTGTAAATGCTGACAGGGACACATTTGCAAGACTTGCTGTTAAGTCGAAAAAGCAAAGTCTGACATGCTATGTACAGGATACTGCCAGTTGTGTAAAAACAAAAGAGGGGTGGGCTTAGAAGAATATATATTTAAGTTTGTGGCATTTGGGTAGAATTTCTTCAGAAAAAACCTGATAACACTCTTGTCCCTGATTGAGGGAATTTGGTGTTGGGGAGACAGGACTGAGAGGGAGCTGTTTCTTTGTAGAAACTTATGTTATCTTAAAAGTCTTCGCTTTTTGTTATTTATTTATTTATTTTATTGGGGAATTGGGGAAGGGGAACAGCCAAGTTGTCTTTCAATCTTAGTTGTGGAGGACGCAGCTAGCTTAGTTTCAAGTCCAGTCGCCATCTGGCTGTCCGTAGGCAGCTCGTGGCTGCTCAGCTCATGGTGTCATGTTCAATCTTAGTTAAGGTGGGCATAGCCCACCAGCCCACCAGCCATGTGGGAGTCCAATCGGCAACCTTGTTGCTAAGAGCACTCAGGGCAGCTCAGCTCAAAGGTGCCTTCTTCAATCTTAGTTGCTAGTGGACATAGTCCACCATCCCATGCAGGAGTTGAACCAGCAACCTTGTTGTTAGGACCACTTGCTCTCACTAGCTGAGCCATCCTGCCGCCTGTTGGCAGCTCAGTGGCAGCTTAGATTGGGTGCAGCTCACTGGCCCATGTGGGAATTGAACCGGTGACCCTGTTGCTCAGAGCTCGCGCTCTTAACCAACTAAGCCACTCACTCGGCTGGTCCCAAGTCTTTGCTTTGTGAATGGGGAACATTGACAAGGTATTCCAGGCTCTCCTTCCTTGAGACAGTATTTCCAGGTTCTAATGTGACCTTCCAGAGGCATTAAATACACATGCAATGAAATAACACCTGCGTCCTGTTTTAAACAAAAATTTTAAAATATTGGACAGAAATGGAAGCATATCATATACACTATTTGCTTTTTTTTTCACTTTAACATATTTTGGAGATTGGTCCATATCTGTACATAATGAGTTTCTTCATGTGTTCAAAATTCTGAAATGCAGCAGACATACAGAAAGTGAACAAAACATTTATACACTTATAAAAACAGCTATAAAACAATCACCCGTGTAACCAGCACCCAGCTAAAGCAGCAGAAGACAACGGCCCCCCAGAAGCCCTCCTTGGCTGTTTGCTGGCTGGAAGTGACCAGAATCCCAAGCTTTATGGAAACAACCTTTTTGCTTTCAGTTCTACCATCTATGGATGTCTGTTTCACAGCAGCACTCATCTCTACCCATTTCGGATCGGATATGAAGGCACTTGAGCTGTCGCTTTCTTTTGTAGCTTGTTTGGCTGGTCGTGACTTTTGTGATTCTCCCATGCTGCTGGAAGTCGTGATAGCTCATTATTTAAGTGTTGTATGGTTTCTTGAATATACAAGTATGTTTATACTGTTTGCAGTCAGGATAAGTGTTGTCTAAAGCCTGTGGTTTCAGTGCAAGAACGCTGAGCAATAATAAGGCATGTGTTCTTTCAACTGTACCATAAACATTTCATGCTCCCATCAGGAGATCGTCTGTATCTCCACAACCATGCCAACAAATAGTGTTAGATTTTATAACTGTTGCCAGTTTCATGGAAGTGTAGTGGTTTCAACCTTGCATTAATTACACTGCATTTTCCCAGTTACTGATACAGATTTTGCGCTTCAGATTCACCCTTTTTCAAATCAAATTCACCTTTTTCAAATCAAATTCATCCTTTTGCAGATCTAATTTTTCCACAAAAATGTCTTCTTAATCTTTGTAATAAAAATAAATCCAATGTCTTGTTAAAATCAAACATTTTATTGCATATATTTAATAAACATAAAATACTTATTTAACATCAGAAATACTTATTTACTTATAGCTTCATTTATAATGGTTCTCCTGCCACTGCTCGTGGTAATTTCATATATTCATGAAATAATTATGATAATCTGTAGGAGTAATAGTTGCAACGGAATTATTAATAACATCTACTAAACATTCATGGTTTGATGGATCAGCCAAAATATTTCTTGTGCAGAACTTAATTTTTGAAAAGCAAACGCGCGATCAAAAGTTATTATACCAGCTCGTGTGACTGTGCCAACTGTTAGAGGACAAAATGTTTCACTAATTTCAGCAATAAACATTCAGGGAATGGTGTGGCATGAAGTAATTGCACATTCTACGATTACTTCAAATATGTTTTGCGAATTTCTTCAGAGATTATTGCAGAAATTGGATGGTGATAATCTGGAGGAAGTGTGGCTTGTTTTGGACAATGTAAGCCTCCACAATACTCAAGAAGTACGTGATCTTGTTTGTCAGACAATACACACTTTATTATTTCTACCACCATACTCTCCAATGAACCCCACTGAAGAAGTTTTTTCAAATATTAAGTCTTGTGCAAGAAATATTTTGGCTGATCCATCAAACCATGAACATTTAGAGGCTATTAATCATTCTGTTGCAACTATTACTCCTAAAGATTGTCATAATTATGTTATGAATACATGAAATTATCATGAGCAGCAAGAGAACCTTTATAAATGAAGCTATAAGTAAGCATTTCTGATGTTATATGTTATGTTGTTTATTATTAAATACATGCAACAAAATGTTTAATTTTAACAACAACAACACTGGATTTATTTTTATTACAAAGATTAAGAAAACATTTTTGTGGAAAAATTTGATCTGCAAAAGGAAGAATTTGGAGTGCAAAACCTGTAAGGTTGTGTTTGGTAGTTATTTAGATTTCCTTTTGTGAAGTGTTTGATCAAGTGCTTTTGCCCACTTGTCTTTTGTGCTGTCTTCTTATTGATTTGTAGGAGCTCTTTATATATTGTTTGGACTAGTTCTTTTGGGTTATATGACTTGCAAATATCTTCTGTCTCACTGACTTGTCTTTCACGTTAAGATAAACAGTTCTTGATTTTAAAAATTAAATCAACTTGAAATATACTTTACACAAAGTAAAATATACC